AATGGACAACAGGGAAGTGAAACGAGTGAACACAAACCTGAAATAGGGCACATCATGCTCTTGCTCTCTTATATCATCTGACTTCACTTCAAGGACTGTTTTATCTGCAGAGACAGGAATTGTTTCATTTGGTCTCTGAATGGAAGTCTGCGCCTCTGATTCACTTGCTGAAAAATATGAAAGGCAGTTGTTCAGAATCTGGTGAAAACCAAAAACATCAGAACAATAAAATAAACGTGAACTTCCTACCGTTTTCTCCTTTCAGACTTGTAGTGGTTTGCTGTTCTTGAATGCCTTCACCAGCAGGTGAAACTTGACTTTTAAAATTAAGCTCTTCTGCCCTAGTCTCACTGGATTTTTCAATTATATTACTGGAAACAAACAGAAATTACATTCAGGGTTAAGACGCGCTGAGAAACTGACATCAAATATGGCCAAATACATAGAAATGCACAACTGAGAAGGCAATCCTACATGCTACGCTGGAGAACTCAAGTAAATCCTATCAAAATGAATAAATCTGTGCAGAGATGTATATGGCCCAGTCCCCCATATATGCAGCTGCTCTACTTCTAAAGCACAGACAGAATTATGCATTATACAGCTTGCTTTGCTGTTGTATTAAGCCCACATCTAAGCAACAATAGCAACCATGACGTCAGGTGTTTCAACGTCACAAGTTTGTTTAAACAGGGAATCTCTCTATAGAAAAGAGGACGGTTTCTCTATCATCACAGAGAGGTCCACTTGCATTTTAGGCCATTAGAAGAAAGAATCTTACACTGGAGACGTCGCGAAATCCCAGAAGGCATTAGGTGTCAAAAATGCATTTGCCCTAGAAGGAGTCATGGGTGTAACTTTGTAGGTCGCTAATCCACTTAATGGCTGAAACACAAAGTTTTGAGGTGCGAAAGAGCGAGTTCTGGGTCTCCGTGGAACAGAATTGGCTTTGTTTTCTGCTGAGGTTTGCTCCTGTCGAAGTTCTACTGATGCTGAATGTTCAGAATCAGCTGCAGAATCTTTCATCACTGGGTCCAGATGAAAGACTTCATGTTTAGAAGGAATTACCTATAACAGAACAAATAGACAAAGCGAACACCACATTATCAAATCAATGAAGAGTGTGCTATAGGCATGGGCTAAATTATAACACAACTGCCTGAAAGCCATCAGGAATCATAGAATCATAGAATTATGAAGGGAACAGTTTCAAGTAAGTCACCTTCTACAATAGCACACGTGTACAGAAGTCATGATTAGTCATGAAGGCCCAACTGGTTTTGACACCTGCAAACCATTTTAGCAACAGGAAGAGCACTTCTCTACAAGGAATGCAACAATCCACTGAAGGGACTAAAGCAGCAGCAAACCTCACCTACCAAAACAGAAACTAAAATTAGCAAACGCTTGCTCCCTCTGCTAGAAAAAATGCTTTAAGGTGATGAGCTCCTCAAGAGCAAAATTACTGGCTCCAAATCCAACCAGGTCTGTGGAATAATCACAGTTTATACACATACTCTAACCCAAAGACCAAGCTAAAATAAGCTGATAAATTTATACACATACTCTAACCCAAAGACCAAGCTAAAATAAGCTGATAAATGAGGAACGCAGCCCAAGACAAGCGTAGTTAGGACCACAGAATGTCCTCAAAAGAGAAGTTAATCAATAAGTTGAATCCACATTCCTATGAGATGAGTGACCAGATAGTCATTCAGAATGTATTTCTGAGATACCTATGTTGAGATATTGTTAGCTCAAACCAGCCAAAAGAGCTTAGATTGTTTTTCAAGAAAATGCGCATTTTTCAATCCACTGAAAATCTTGTCGTACTTTAGCTACCCCTGCTTGGAACGTCAGCCTTGAAGTCAACTTCTAACACACTTCTGTAACAAGTTGACTGAGTTTACAGCAAGAGTTTAGCAACTGGCAGCACAAAGCAACTCCTGCCTGTGAAGAGGTACTTATGTGAGCGAAGATGTAAGTGCCTCTTACCTTCGGCCAGCGTTCGTGCGGGATTGCAGCAGTTTCAAGACAACACTAGAGCCCAGTTATAGAAACAGGAGTGGAGATGGGAGGTGAGGGAGACATGAGGTGAGAGGGAACAGTGGAGTGCGAAGGAGGAGAAAAATTCACTGATAGTTGTTGCACGGGACTGTCCGTGCATGAATGTATATGGAAATTGTTTGGGAACCTGGGATGGAGGGCTACGATGACTTCACGTACTGCTGTCTCCATGTAGAGGCAGGAAAGCTTTGTTACAGCAGTGACACCAAGAACCACAGTGCCTTTAACTATGGTATGTCTACCTTGCAGAGAATAACACTTCCAGCTTAATTTGTCGTGGTTCAAAAATCTAAAAACATATTTATTTCTTCGCTTCCACAGTCTCCTACCGTAACCTCAGCAGCAAAAGGGTACATTCAGAGTATGTTTCAAAAAGGAACGAACTGCACAAAATTTACAAATGCTAGATAAAATCAGCAAAGCAGGTCTTCCTTTTTTTTCCACTAGTTAAACTACCAGGTGTGCGTTATGTCATGGAAGAATTTCCCGTTCAATTTAAATCATTGTCCAGATCTTGATTAGTAATCAAGTCATCCATATAAGCAAACTATATTTGATCTTAATTTTAAAAATATGACAATACAAATACATACAGCTTCTTCCCAAAATCTAGCTTATTAGTGAACCTCTTATTACATCTATGCTTGAACACAAGTATATTTGAGCTACAATTACACTGTTATTGGCTTTTAAATCAGTTTTACTGTGTTTCCATTTCAAATATTAAGTGACTTACCTCCATGATGTCAGGTTTGACTGCTTTCTTCTGTTTTCCTACATTTGCTGTCTTTCTCTGTGACTGGTTACCTAGAATGAGAGAAATCCTGAGGTCAAAAAGGCATCTGATTAAGACCATCTTTCACCAAAAGAATGCTATAAAAGACCACTCATTAGAGATAGGGAATGTTGTTTCTTGATTGGGAGGAGGCTACAAGGCAGATATCTAATTGCAAAAGTTCATTCAAAAGAAACCTTGGCCTAGGATTTAACGGCCTATTAAGAGATGTATCACCAAGAAACGAAAACAAATTAAGTCATTAGTCTTTAGATGTTGTCATAAATTAAAAATAAAAATTACTTTGCTTCCTTAAAAGCTGCAGAGATTGTGTCATGTCAATTTGAGTTCAGATTTTTAATTTATGTATGGCATAAGACTTCCATTGGTGAATTGAAACTGATACTATCAAAGCTATGCTTTCAGCCTAGGGGTTAAATTTATCATATATAACAAAAGGGACACTGCAAAACATTCTGGAGTATTTTCTGAGAATAAGAATATATACTAAAAATTTTCCCTTCAATAACCATTAAGCTCCCCTATTCTAGTAAACAGGCAAATGCAAAGAGAAATTCCTGACCTGAAGAACGTAGGCTGTCATCGCTTCCAGAGGTATCTGCTCCTGACCACAAACTTAATATATTATCACATGTCCTTAAACAGCAATACACCAAACTGGCAAATCTTTACCAGTTCTGGTTTTGTTCTTTTAGTTTCTAATTATCATATGGCTATTGATGCTCCACACTAATGGATTTTATGGGAATCTGTCCAATGTTGGTTTCAACGTCTTGATTTAAATATTGCAATAGAGTTCTAGATGAAAGTCTAAGTGATACAGTATTTAGTCCTTTTCTTACATGACAATGTGGCATGAGTTACCCACAGTCTATCTATCAAAGACTACTGCTATCATTCTGCTAGCTACACAGCAGAATGTAGTGTGCTAAGACAGCTCCGAACAAGCCGATATGTATCTCTACAGCACAACAGAACGGCCAAGATAGCAGTAAGATCCTAAAGACAACAGAGCTGTCCTAGTATATCATTTGACAACAAGTCCAACGGCAGCCTATTAACATACATATGTTGTTCCCAGTGCTTGCTTGTTGTTTCCAGCAGTAGATGGTATCTCTTTACAGCACGCTTTTCCAAATACTCGCCCATCGGGCTTGAGCTACTCAAGCAGGACTATAGTCACTGCCTCACTTACCAGTAGTAGTAGCAGCAGTAGTTGCTGTTTTCAGCATCTGCCTAGCTGCAGAGGAGGCTGCTCTGGTGACTCTTACGTTTGCAGTTGTCTGGACTGCAGTCTGCAACACTGTAAGAAATGTTAATTTCAGAGATTTGAAAGCTTAATGAGTTGCATTCAAATAACAGAATTGAAAGTTTACGTTTTGCAGAAAGCAGAAAAGTGCACTAGCAATTATTAGTTGCACTTGTTTGCCAGAATCAGAGATTATTTTTTTTTGTCAGTTCAGTGCAAGCAGTGCTAAACATGGGCAGCACAGCTCAGCCTTAGCATAAGGCAATGCTCTGAGGATCTCGATTGAAGATGGTTTTGTTGTACAGTAGTGCCTCCAGGATCTAATAACATTGAGATACCAGTGTGCTAGGTGCCATGTACACAGAGTAAGGAACCCTTCTCACTGTTCCCTGTGATCAGAGTCAACACCATTCCTATTTTACAGATGAAGTTTTCTGGAGTAATAACTTGCCATGGTTATTTGCACAGCTGGAAATAAAACAAACCATCTCTATAAGAAAGCGATGCCCTGGTCATTAGATGAAAGTTTTCTGAAGTCTGAATTTACTGTAATCTAATAAAGTATTCTTAAGAGGAATCTCACCTGACATTTTATAAAATACAACTCAGAATTTACTGTAATCTAATAAAGTATTCTTAAAATTAAGAGGAATCTCACCTGATATTTTGTAAAATATGACTCAATCCATGCACTGTATTAGGGGATAAGTGGGGATACTAGATTTCAGGCAGATACAGAAAAGGAGGGTATGAAATAAAGAGCTCTTGTAAATTTTTTTATGTGCAGGAGAATGCTATTATTTTTGGAAGGAAATTAAAAACAATATTAAAATACAAAGATGAAAATTATTAAGATGGGTAATCATAGAATGGTTTGGGTTGGAAGGGACCTTCAAGACCATCTAGTTCCAATCCCCCTGCCATGGGCAGGGACACCTTCCACTACACCAGGTTGTTCAAAGCCACATTCAACCTGGCCTTGAACACTTCCAGGGATGGGGCATGTTTAGAATTGCAGGTTGACAAGTTGTGAAAAAAAAATTACTAGATAAATAACTAACATTTCATTTATCCAAACATTCAGTTCCCTAACATTTTTGTACCAGTGTTTAAATACACATAACAATCTCTTGATTCAGCAAAAAGCATTATCAAGACTAGTGGATGATAATTTAAAAAAAACACGATAATGTGCAAATTGTTATATCAAACACCGATAATAGATCCTTTCAGTATTCATTGAAGGCATGACGAAATTTATTTAAATAAAGGTCTGCTGCTTGCTGATTTAATTAAGTTAACGATGCAAGAGTCATTCCACTCTGAATTACTGAATCTCTTGCATTAACGTCAGTATTCCACATGACTTACCCGCATCTCCTTAATGCATGAACATCACTGTGCTATCAGGAAGAATTTCTACTCTAAGGCATTCTACTCCATTAAACAAAGGTGGCACGGGTTGGGGTTTTTTTTGTTTCACTTCCTTAAGAAACGTATCTATTTGTCACACAGAAAGTCCAATAACTAGAGAGATACAGAAGGGGCTATTGTAAAATATGAAAACATTAAGATTGTACTTGTCATTTATTAAAGACGACAATCACTTATTTATTCAGCTGCGTTAGTGTGCATCAGAAGTTCAGAGTCCTGTCTCAAACATTTTTTATATATATATGCTAACATGCTTTACCAGGCAGCTATCCTTTCCCAAACCTTTTTCAATGCTGTGTTACACAGTTTCATTCAGAGACCACAGACAACAGTTTATTTGCTGACAGACAGAAGGAAGACTTCACTAAAAATATTCACAGCTGATTCAATCAGCTATTTTGGCTTGGAGAACCAGGTCCAGAGGAGGGCCACGAAGATAAGAGGGCTGGAGCACCTTTCCTATGAGGACAGGCTGAAAGAGTTGGGGCTGTTCAGCCTGGAGAAGAGGAGGCTCCAGGGTGACCTTATAGCGGTCTTCCATTACTTCAAGGGGGCCTACAAGAAAGATGGGGAGAGGCTGTTCAGGAGGGCTTGTTGTGATAGGACAAGGGGTAATGGTTTTAAAATAGAGGGAGGTGGATTCAGGTTGGATATTAGGAAAAAATTTTTTACCATGAGAGTTGTAGAACACTGGAACAGGTTGCCCAGAGAGGTGGTGGATGCTCCATCCCTGGAGACGTTCAAGGCCAGGTTGGATGAGGCCCTGAGCAACCTGATCTCATTGGAGATATCCCTGTTCCTTGCAGGGGGGTTGAACTAGATGACCTTTGAAGGTCCCTTCCAGCCCTAACCATTCTATGATTCTATGATTTTCCAGGTTACCCACAATACCAAGAAAAGTCCATGTTTTATTTGTATCAGCTGTGCTTTATCTTTCCAGGTGAAGACACTTGCTCTTCTGTAATAGCAGCAGCTACTATATGGGACATTCTTCTTCGTGACAAACTGGAAGCTCTGCACAGCTCCAAACGCTGAAGCAGCAGTCATGCGATTCTGCCTACTGACCTTTTTCTTTTCCCTCTCCTAGGGTGAATAATCAGTAACCAGGACAGCATTAAGTATCCTGCATTCCATTTTCTCAGCCTACAGAGGCAACAAGAACATGCAATACCTAGAGCCACATGCTTGATGGTCTGCCAGCTGCTGCCATTGTCATAGTTGATAGGGACGGTCATCATAAAAACTCCGTTTCCTACACCCAAAAACCTAGTAGGGATCTCTCCCAAAGGTGCTCCTTGCCCCCTCTCCCATAATGTCACAACCATTGAGTCAGAAAAATCAAGCAGCAGTGTCCTTTCAGATGTAGGGCTCGTTCTACTTTCATACCTTTCTGTTTTTCAGCTGCTTTGTCCGTACTCATCTGTTTGCGTCCCGCTTGCGTAGGGCGCACGCTATGCCCGTTGGCACAGACCTACAAGAGAAGATTGGTTTTTTGTGAAGCATCATCTCCAGAAACTAAGAAGGCTGATTTCTTTCATCTTTCTATTTCAGGCTCCAGTAAAATAAATGGTCCAGTAGTTTGGCACAATGGGCTTTAAAAAGTAAAGAGATACTAAGGATAATTAAAATAGCTATTTTGGACATGTGTTGATGTGCATTATCCAAAATTAAGAATTTGTCAGAAAAAATATGAAGAAAAATATTTAAGAAAGTTTCAGTCTACTATGAAACTAGGTACCAATTACTAGCGCATCTTACTATATATCAGGTGTTTTAAAAACCAGTTTTCAGAAAAAAAAATAAAATCACTATTAACTCAGTTGTCCCTTCGTAAATTTATGACAGGAAATCCTTCAAATGAATTAAAGTTCTGTAAGGTAAAATAGGTAGATTCAAATGATAGCTTCTTTTACAGATTACTGCTGGTGAAATCCCTCAAAACCCCCTACTTTTTTATTCAAGTAATAGCAGAAGAGATTGCCATGATTCATGGTAAAAATATGCCAACATTGAAGTGACTTTGAATGCTGTTCCAACCAGTAAAGATTAACCATGGGTGATACCTACAGTAATTGCATCTCAACACAATGCACCTCCATTTACAAGGCATTGAGGAAAAACTAGATAGAAATTTGCACCAACACCATATACCTCCTGTGACTTTCAGCCACTGGTTTTGCCCATTTCTAATACTGACTACACTACGGAAAAAGCAAGGGGAAAAAACTTCTTGCTGATAAAATTCCCCAACAAAATAAAACAGGCAGCTCCATGTCCAGCATGTTGAAAATAGTAAATTCAGCAATAGTGGTCTTGCATACGTTAACGTGAGATGAAACATTTCACAATTTTTAAAAACTTAACTATCGTTTCGACTTTACGAAATTAAGATGCCAAATTAGCAAAGTAAATAGTATTTCAACAGTTATGTGCACCAGATCTGTCACTGCAGAGACTCCAAGAAGTCAAACAAATATCGCAGTCAGGCTAACTCAATCCTCCATCTTTAAACCAGCAGATAAGGTGGCATGCAATTTAACACGCAAGAATATTTTAAGTTGGACTTTAAAAACAAGTGTTCTTCCCTACTGTAACAGGATTTTAAGATTGCAGTCAATCTGCTGGGTTGCCTGCAACTTGTTGATGCTAGAATGCGATCTGTGAGAAGAATGAACTGACTTTTTATAAGACTTTCAGCATTTAAGAGAGATTCGCTGGTTCTCCAAGCCAAAAGCAAAGTATATAACTTTAGTCTCACTGCTATCTCTACTCTTACTTGCAGGCCTTTCTGACTACAATGTTTTGTATTGAAAAGGGATCTGGAAGATCTGTGCACTTTTTTTATACTGACATAATCAAACTCTCTGCAGTTCAGTTCAGCACAATGCCATCTATCAGCTTGCTGAAAGCTTTTCTGACCTTATTTATATTTCTCACCAGGAGAAACTCCTTAGAGCACTCAACACGTAAGCATACAACTCAGTTACGGTCAGAGGATAACTGCATCCTTTTCTCTAAATTTATTTGCTGAAGTTTATATATAAAAAAAAAAACCAAACCATAGAGTGCTTAGATGCAGTCGGTATCACAGCTTTTTCTTCTTGGATCTTGGCCTTTGATCGAGTAATCCTCCCAGAGGACGCGGGAGCTGCCTGGAAACATCCCCAGGGAAACAAGAGTTAATATACTCCTTTTACCCTCCCATCACTGTTAGAGTGGGCAAGAAGCCCGAGTGTGAAAAGCAACATGCCTGTGCAAAATGGGTCAAGCGTGTAATTTGAAAAACATTCCAAGTCAAGTGGACTAAATAGGGACAAGTTACCAGTTCTCAGATAACTTAGCTGTTTCATTTGTGGATGAGCCATTCCGGTTTTTGAAGTGAGAACATAGCCATAAATACAAAAATCAACATACCACTTGGACTGTTTCCTACTTAGTTTTTTTAAAAAAACGAAGCTAATTACTCCCTTATTGTTACTTATTATAAAATAAATATTTACAAAATCGACAAAATTTACAAAAATATACACACAAACTTGCACACAAGTATAAACTTCAATATCATATACTATATATACTTCACGTAGATATTTAATATTTCTCTTATTACCTTCTCTCTTGGCTTTACTGTCACAGGATCTTCAGGTACAAGTGAAAGAAATCCAGGCGCAGCTGGTCTGTATAATCCCACTTTAAACACACCCTTTTTTGCTTTCTCTCTTTGCTCCCTCTGTTTTCGAAGCTCCTTTTCTTCTTTGTAGCGCTGGAGCATTTCCTTGCGTTCATTAATCCTCTTGGTGGCTGCATTTGTACATTGTTCTGAAGCAAAGACGGAAGACAGACACCTTCCAAAATCTTGAAGGCACTTTTGAGCCAACAATAACTTAAAAAAAAAACACTTTTCCAAGCTAAAAGAGGAACATATGAAGTCAAAGAGCAGAAAGCTGTCTGGAACCTGTGCCTGCAAGTTTTAACCAAAAGTCTCATAATACAAATCCATGTAACCTAAGAGCTTGCTAAAAGCTTAAATTCTCCTAATTGTTTTAAAACAATGCTAAAAGAGCATTCAATGGTGAACTTCAACTTACAAACACACTTCCCCAAAACTGCACCTGAGGGATTACTGTAAATTCACACACATTTTACAGTGTGCAGGCTGTTCCTGCAAGGTTATTAGTATTAAACTTGACACTTCAACTATTTATTTAGTTTATTTGTACCAGTTTCTCTATTCGAAGACTTGTAACGTCATTGAAAGCTGACGTCTAGGTCAGCTTTAGGTACCAAAGCCTGCCTCCGTCTGAGAACAAATGAGGCAGAAGTCATATGAAAGAATAAAACCCTAAGATGATGCCAAACTTGAATTACATGTCTATCTGAAAAATTAATGTCTACTCAAAGTTAAAATTTATTGAAGATAATCAAGACATAAACTTCTTACATTTCATATTTGACATGATTACATAGGGATTGCACTTCTTCCTCCAATAACCTTCTGCTATCAAAACACTGAAGGTGAAAATATTTCTTAAGAAATCTGTTAACATTTTTAAAGATTAACTGAATTCCCTAGGCCATAAGAACCCAGGAGAGCCAGGGAAGAAGAATTCAGTACTTGTGCAGGCCCTATTTTCTGGGAGGAAAGATAAGTTATCAAAAAAATAGTAATTTTGGAAAATAAAATTATACTATGTATTTATCCATTCATAATTCTATATACTCAATTATAATAGACAATTGCTCATTTTTAAGCATACTTTAAGCACGACAGCAACCAGTTATACGTTAGATGAGATTTTTAGATCAGGGTTTTTCACTTCTTGAACAACAAACCAAGCAATCATTAAGAGATTTTCCATTGAGTAGTCTTCCTTCAGCTGCTGCAGATAAAGCAGAGCAAAGCATCGTTCACACCACCAGAGCAGTGAGGAGGATAAAGCTGTACTAAGACTTTACTTCCTTGATTTTCTTAACAGTTAGAAGAACTGGTAGCCATTGTTTTTTAAATCAAATCTTTTCTTCAAATTCAAACATTGGCCACAATGAGGTTCCTGTGAGAATGTTACTAAACCTTCTTAAAGACATTTTCAACAATTCAAAAAAAGCTTTAGAACGAGTCTTTACTTACTCTGCTTTCCACTGCTGTTCTCTTGAGAGCACGTTTCGCTTGTCTCATGTAGTCGAGAACTTCCCCTCTCTTTTGAGAGCTGGACGTTGACATCTGCCAGTCCAAACCGCCTGCCCTTTTCAAACAACTTGTGCCTGTTCTCCTTCTGAAGCATGGATTTTCTGCGCGCAACTTTCGTTCTGAGCGCTTCTGTGCTCAGATCCTTTTTGTATCGACTGGTGAACTGGGAGGTAGCAGCCATCTCGATGACCCTAGACAAAAATCACCTTCATTAGGAAGCAAGCTGTCATGTTTTGCTTTGCCCTTTTCGTTGGAGTTTGCATGTTAGGAACAAAGCAAGCCCTGGGTTCTTCGTTTCTGCACGTGCACCAGAGAAAATGCAAATGACAATCTCGGTAATGACTCCTCATTATTTATCTTTATTTTATTCAAGGGGGCAGTTTGTTTGCAATCAACAAGTCTGACACAGAATCAGTAGGGGACACTGCATCACTGCCAAGGATTGGCCTGTCGGTCCTTTTTCAACACAGATGTTTTTCGTGTTAGGGAGACAAGTAAACGACAAGGTTGTAGGACAATACTTGGAAGCAACGTGGCCATGGAGCATTTAGATTGTACCCTATCTGATGGCAAGGCGTTTTCGTCGTGCATCAGAGTATTTGGCACCATTTCCCACCCACGTTTCCAGGATGCAACTGCAACACAATAGCGTTTATTTCCAGCAGGATTTCTTCCTACTTTTTTAACCTGAGGAAGACTCAATGCAAAAGTCAGTTGGTTTGTACGTGCTGTGCTAACAGCAGTGCAAAAAGCTCCATCCCATGCACCCTGCTGAAGCCTGTTTTATCAAGGGTTTCCATTCTCTCTTCCTGGGGAGAGGTCAGGACCAGTTCTTGCAATTGGTCTTACTCTGCCTGACACCTCAACCAGGGTCTTTGAGAAAACTCATCTTCCATTACTTACAAAAAACAGCTTTACAGTAAGGAGGGTGACAGAGCTAAACTAAACAGCCAACAGATACTCATTGACCAGTAAATTGGTCGTTTACGGAGGTTCTTAATTTCCAGATAACAAATTTTGATCAAGCTAAAGGAATCATCAGGGAACCAGACTGAAAAGATCAACTTGACTATGGGTGTACGAGATTTCCTAAAGTAAATCACCCTCCTCCTCCATTCACTGTCAGTATCTCAAGCCAAAAACACCACTAGCAGCCCAACTGAAAAACCCAAATTCCTGAAGAAAAAGAGTAACAAAATAAATAGAAAGAGTACAGAAAGAAACAGCAATGTACTCTTAAACTGTATATACTTAAGGAAAAAGTGAGCAAGGAGGGAATCTGAGCTACTGTAAGAAGGAATACAGGCAAAGTATCTCCAGATTATCATCACTGCTGGCAGGGGCAGCTCCTTGTGCCCCACTTCATGGCAGTATTCACGTACTGAGTAACTCGTGCAGCACCAACAGTACCTGCACAACCACCTGGAAGTGATTGGAACAGATAGTGGAGATAATATACAAGTCAGAAATCTAAATGGGTACATTTTGATTCTTTTTTTCCAATACGTTCAGTGCTGCAGGAGAGCAAGATGGTCAATGGAAATGTAAATGAGCAAATGGGAATAAAAAGCAAAAACTCAGCTTAAAGCACTCAAATCAGAGACTGGATTTCTTCCACACAATCCTGGAAGAGCTGGTGTGTGTCAGTGCCACCTGATTTGCCAATTTCTTACGCTTCATCCTGCATCTTACATTCCAACGCTCAGAAATCGATCAAAGATGTCAGTTAATTAATAATGACTGCAAATGATCAGACTAACTCTCCTGTAGTTCACAGGGCATACATGCCTTTCTTTACATGTAAGTGATTAAGGAAGCCTAGCTCACGAGCATCTCCGATAATCATCTTTACACTGATCTTGTTAGTAATTCCTGCAGAAAACCACGAAGAAAACAGTTGGTGGTAATATATCCCTACCATCTACCTCCTAGAAGCAGCAGGCTTTTTGAGCCCAGCGGATGAAAATAACTTCTAAAAGCAGCAGCTAGCATCAAGTCTCTATGCTCTTCTGCTGTGGACTTGCGGGACAAATTCCCTGTGTCTGGGACTCCTTAAACACGCTCTTTAAAGACAGTCACAGTCCTTTCAGAGTGCGCACACAATTTTTAATTCAGGGCCTTAATGGAAGGTAACATTCTCTCTATCCACAAAATATACATTATTATCTATCAGGCAAGCTTACAGAAAGCCACATTTGCCTTCAACGCTAAAAGACATTTAACACATTTAAAGGCTTTTTATGTTCTACCTTCTACTTTGAACAATATTTTCCTAGTCACTGTAGTGTAAGTCCACTCTCGTTAAGCCTTCTGTCATTAATAAGCCTCAAGAGCAAGCGATCTACCTTTCAATAAGCAATCCTGCAGCAGAATTCAGCTGAAATTTGAAGAAGGCAAATATAATGTAAGCAGAGATCCAGAGAGACCTTCCCACAAAGGTATTAGCAGGTCATATCCCGGATCAGGAAAAGCAATGCACCAGATTACCCACCATCTCTTCGGGCTCATTAAAAATATATGGCATGCTCAGTGTCCTAAACGTCTCTTCAGGACAAAAATACCCGTCTCCTTTTCTTTCCAGGTTATGGTTTCTGAGTGGTACCTGGCCCAAACGGGAGTCTAGAAGATTAATTGGCATTTAAATTGATAGAAATTCAAGTAAAGACTAGTAGCAGGAAAGGGACAAAGGGCTTAAATGCAAGACTTGGTCTTGGCTGGCACGTACTACCAAAATTAAAGTCGAAAATTCATAGGATTGGGTTTTATAAGAAAAACAATGAGGGAAAAGAACCAGTTTTGACCAGCAACGCCACAAGAACCAAAGAAGTTTTAATTTAAAAAAAAAAAAAAAGCGTTTAGGCGCACAGGCAGCGTTTTTAACCCGAATAGCGGTAAATTAGAGCAGGAACCGCAAAGATCGCGATTTTTAAAGCGGGAACGTGCCAAGTTTAGGGAGCGCGGAAGGCGGAGAAGCGGCCCCGGGAATCG